TTTTTTTTTTTTTTTTAGACATTCTTGCTAAGACTGGCCTTGAATTTGTGGCAGTCCTCCTGCCTCAGCCTCCTCAGTGCTGGGATTACAAGTGTGTGCCACCATTGCCAACCAAAATTCCTTTTTAAAAAAAGTGTGTCTGCATAAACCGGGTGTGGTGGCACATGCCTGTAATCCTAGCACTTGGGAGGCTGAGGCAGGAGGATTGCTATGAGTTTGAGATCAGCCTGGACTACATAATGAGTTCCAGGTCAGTCTCAATTACATAGCAAGACCCTGTTTAAAAAAACCAAAAAAAAAAAAAAAAGTGTGTCTACCTGAATAAAGTCTTCAAGAACTCCGATGAAAATCTCAACCTCTTCTGGCTTCCTATTCTGTTCACTACCATGCCCTGAACTTTATATAGGCTTTCTGGCATTCCAAATCAGCATTTCAAGAAACACCTCCTGACTACTGTCCCCCTAATTCCCACTACAGAAGCACAGCCCCTGGTGCTGAAGAATGTATCCTGTACTTTCACACTGAGCTACCTCTGCAGTCTGTGGACCCTTTTTTATTCTTTTAAAAATTGCCCAGAACCCCTCAGTGGTGCACCACACCTGTAATTCCAGCACTCAGGAGGGGGAAGTAGGGTTGCCAGGAGTTTGAGGCCAGCCTGGGCTACATGAGTTAAAGACTAGTCTGGACTGCACAGCAAGATTCTGTCTTAAAAACTAAAAAATAAAAGTTTTTTTCCCCCCTTGGTAAGGGGCTCAAACTCAGGACCTTGCACTTGGGTTTTTTGGGGTTTTATTTATGTATTTATTTATTTTTGGTACCGGATATTGAACTCCAAACCACTGAGCTAAATCCCCGGCCCTAGGACCTTGCACTTGTAAGGCAGGCAGTGGAGCCACTCAGCTAAATTCTTGGTCCAAGATACATTTTTTTTTTTAATTGTTCAAACTGAGGCTCTTGCCTCAGCTACCCAGCAATCCTCTTGCCTCAGTGTCCCATAGGCTTTTGCTACCAAGCCCAGTTCCACCCCCAAATCTTTCCTCTCCATAGTTACCAGCTCAGTGAAAGTTGCCCAAGCATCCAGCAGTATAGCTGGAAAAGGAATTGGCTAGTACTCTTCCTTCTTTCCACTGCTACATCAGTTAATCAAGTCCTGTCGATTCTGTCTCCCAAATAACATCTCCATGCTTAGACTGAAACCACTCAAAAAAAAGCTACTGTCGTTCATGCATACGGATATGATATATAGCTTCCTGATTTCTGCACTCTTGCAAGTCTCCTGATACATTCAACAGAAACCGCCCCCTCCTTTCCTTCTCAATTGCAAATAAGAGTCCATAGAACATTTGCTTAAAACACTGTATGGGGGGTTCTGGCCCTGTTGCTCAGTGGTGGAACACATGTTTTCCATGGAAAAGGCCCTAGATTCAACCCTAGCATTCCCCCCCTCTCAAAACAGTCACACACACACACACACACACACACACACACACACACTTGAATCTCATTACACTTAGAATAAAAGCCTAAATCCTTAATAATTGTTCTACTGTATCCCCAGTGTTAATTCAGCTACTTTTCTGGCTTCAGTTAGCTTTCTCTCAATTCTACATTTCCTTTTCTCCCCCCACTCACTTTGGTCTTTTAGAAACAGGGAATGGCTATGCAGTTCAAGCTGGCCTTGAACTCACTATGTAGTCCAGGCTGGACTCAAACTCATAGCAATCTTCCTGCCTCAGCCTCCTCTGTGCTAGGATTACAGATGTGCACTGGCACACTCAGCTCAGTTCTGGGATTTCTGTTTGTTCACACCAAAGAACTACACAGAGAAGCCAGTAATGGCCTGAGCAGAACTGAGTAATTTCCATTTGACATTTTTTTTTTTTTTTTTTTTTTGTTTTTTTTTGAGACAGGGTCTCACTGTGTAGTTGAGACTGACCTGGAACTCACTATGTAGCCCAAGCTAGTCTCGAACTCACAGCAATCCTCCTACTTCAGCCTACCAAGTGCTGGGATTATAGGCGTGTGCCACCACGCCTGGCTCATTTGACATTTTTTAAAATGCAGATCATACAATGTTGCCCAGGCTGATCACCAGTTTTTAGGTTCAGGAGATCCTCCTTCTTCAGCCTCCAAATGAGTCTCCTGGCATATAACAAGCCGGTTCTTTTGATGCCTTTTTGAAGGAAACAATAGTATAATTTTCCTCTTGACCTTCAGGTCCTTTTATTCCAATCTTGACCCCAGGAATTATTATTACTAAAACATGGAGAATCTGAATAACAGGTAAAAACAGAACTATTAGATTAATTTTTATTTGAAAGACACACTGGGTTAGATGGAAATCTATATGAAAAAAGATAAAAATCTTCTTTGATTTCTATGGGGAGAATGAAGATGATCAAGGCTGGAGATATATTATCAGAGCTGGAATCTGTATAGATGTCTGGATGAGCAGAGAACTAATGGGAAAAGCTGAGATATTTCCCAAAAACTACATTCAGTTTCTAGAAGTCAGCTAAAGATGATGCAAAAAAAAAGAAAAAAGAAGTGTATATAAAAGCTCTGGCACAAGAAGATAATAAATATATCTCTGTATGTCTTTGAATCCTCTTTAGTAGCTAATACAGGATTCAATACTCAGTAAATATTTGCTGAATTAAACCAAAGGGTAAGAACCCCAGATCCCAACAACCTTCTAATCTCCAGTCTACTAGTAATGGATGGCATGGGCTTGGACGTATCATCTCACACTTGAGAGTTGCTACTGTATTTCCATATCTATAACAGGTGACTTGAGCCATGATTTTTAATATCTATTATAGTTTAAACATTTTGTAATTTAAAAAAATGTTTCAAACTCTTTCTCTACTTTTCCAGTGTGTAAAATTACACAAATTCCCTTTTTGCCACTGAGGATCTTTTTCCTTTGAATTTTAACTTGCCTTTCGGCAAATAGCCTGCTATTCCCTTCATAGGGCCCCTCATTCCCAATGAAAGTGACAGCAAACTGGGTATGGTGGGTACAAGCCTGTAATCCCAACTCTGAGAGCCTGAGGTGGGAGGATTACAAATTGGACCTCAGCCTGAGCAGTTTAGGAAGACCAGATCACAAAATAAAAAAATAAAAGGCTTGGAGGACATAGTTCAGTGAGAAGGCACTGGGTTCATCCCCCAACACACACACACACAGCAATAAAACAGCAACGAAGACTAATAATATGGATTTTTGGTATTACTCCCAGCATGTATTGAAGAAATCAGCACCCACATTGACTGTTTATGTTTTTTGGTGTTTTTTCTGAAGTTTTCGAGATAGGGTCTCCCAGTGGGGTTCAGGCTAGCCTTGAACTCATCCTACTTCAAAATCTCAAAGCACAAAAGCAAACAAAAAAATACACAAAAAATATTAATCTGTTGGTTTAAATTTTTTTTTTTTTTCTTGAGACAGGGTCTCACTAAGTGGTCTAGGCTGGCCTTGAACTATGTAGCCCAGGCTGGCCTCAAACTCATGGTGAGCTTCCTGCCTCAGCCTCCCTAGTGCTGGGATTACAGGTGTGCACTACCACACTTGGCACTTTTTTCTTTTTTTTCAGTTTAAAAGTTGAGTCTCATTTTATCTGTAGGGTCTAACTTTTTTAGTATATGTGCTGCCAAAGCGAGAACAGTATAGGGTCTAACATTTACAATGCATTGTGATGCCACACAAATTAAGTGATGCTATTCTTAAATTACAAAAAAGCCACAGAGTTTATGCAAGTAACGACAAAAAAGAAAGAAAGAAAGAAAGAAAACAAGGTTTATGTGGAAGAAAAACCCAAATGATGGTTTTATCGAAGCATTGCCAACTCTAATCTAAATGGAGCCCAAAACACCGAGCAATCTTTGGTTATTCAGATTTTCTAGTTTTATTTCTTTTGTTGTTGTTGTTTTGAGGCAGTCACACTATGTATTTCAAATTGGCCTTGAACTCATTATCTAACCCAGGCTGGCCTTGAAATCACAGCGACTCGCCTGCCTCTGCCTCCCAAATGCTGGGACTACAGGAAAGAGCCACCATGCCTGGCTATTCAGCTTCTAGATGACTCATCACACAAAAAAGGAAAATATAGTGACAGTTCTTTCATTGAACATGCTCATTACCATGTACCCAAAGCTCTTTTCAAAGGTAACTAAATTGGGCTCTGTATATTCTAAACTGGCCTTGAACTCACTATGTATTTCAGGCTGGCCTTGAAATCACAGCAAGTCTCCTGCCTCTGCCTCCTAAGTGCTGGGATTACAGGCGTGCGCCACCACATCCAACTATTTTTTTCAATATTAGGTGTTGAACCCAGGGCCTTCCCACTGAGCTTAACTGTATATTCTCAAACCCTTTTTGTTTTTATTATTTTTTTGTGTGTGTGATGGACTCATGCTAAGTCACTAAATTGTCCAGGCTGCCCTCAAACTTGCCATCATCCTGCTTCTGGCTCCCAGAATACTAGGATTTACAGGTGTGTGCCACCACACCCTGCTCAAGGTGTATTTTTGACACTGTTTGCCAAGGGTTTAGTGATGAACTGAAAATAGAGAGTAAGGGAACAGATGGATATTGGCATCATTCACCAAGTTGGGAAAAATGGTAGAGTAACAGACTTTCTGGCTAGGAGTCAACTGAGGAAGCGGAACTATATAAAGATTATGGAATATAGGGTTTACTGTAGGAATAATTTGTATGAGATGGAGAAGGTAAGGATTCAATGGTACAAAGAGTGAGTTGGATAAGGAATGAGTCACTAACCAGCCTTCCTCCAAGCTGGATGAGCAAGGAAAGTTCACAGGACAGCTGGGGAGCCAGGCCTGTCTGGTCTAGTTGCTGGAATGGGACAATGAAAAAGAATGCTGATAGTTGGGCGTGGTGGAGAACGTTTGTAATCCCAGCACTCAGCAGGCTGAGACAAGAGGATCTCTGCCTGTTCAAGGCCACCCTGGGCTACACAGTGAGTTCCAGGCCAGCCTGAACTGCATAGCAAGACCCTGTCTCAAAAAAACAAAACAAAAACAAACCTACTATACATGGAAAGCTGTTCTGTGGCAGTGCAGGCCTGAGGTTACTTATCAAGCAAGGTTGAAAGTTACATGTGGACCAGGGAAGAAGGAGATCAAGATAAAACTCTGAATCTATTCTTTACTACATTTAATCAAGTTCACACATGGGGGGTTGGGTTGCTTTGTTTTGTTTTTGAGACAAGGTCTCATTGTACTACCAGCCTTTCTCAAATCCCTAGGCTCCAGCAATCCTCCCACTTGAGCCTCCAGAGTAGCTGGGGTTACAGTCCTGCACCACTGCACCTGGTGCATACATTACATCTTTTTATGTTTCTTCAGTTTATTTTTGTCTTGAACTGTACTGTCCAAAACCATAGGCACCAGCACAGTGTGGCTATTTAAATTAATTTAAATAGGATGAAATAAAAAATTCACTTCTCCAGTAACACAGTCACATGTCAAGGGCTCAGTAGCTGTATGTGACTAATGAATATGATTCTGGGCAGTGTCAATATTTCCAATCTTTAGAGAAAGGTCTTTTCTACTGGGCATGTATCTTAAAGTAATACTCCCTTTGATGGGTAGGTTATGGTCTTTGACCTAACACAAAAAAGCACAGAATTTTCCTATTTGAAATGTATTTATACAAATTAATTATAGTATTTCAAGTCTATCTTAACTGCCAATAAAATGAGACACCTTTGATTAGTTCTTTTCTCCTTATATTTGCATAGTGATTGATGAAGATATGAAAGACTTCCAAGGAAAGTATGAGGAGCCTGACATAATGATGTATGCCTGTAATCCTAGCACTCTAGGAGGCTAAGGCAGAAGATTTTCATTGCAAGACCACCATTGGGCAACTTAGCAACTGAAAATAAAAATAAAGATCTAGGGGGCAGGAGATTTAGCTCAGTGCCTCCACACCTGCCTTGCAGGTGCAAGGTCCTAAATTCAATCCCCAGTATAAAAAAAAAAAATCATAAAGATCTAGGGATGTAGAGTCAGGCATGGTGGTGCATGCCTGTAACACTAGGGAGGCTGAGGCAGGAGGATCGCTGTGAGTTCGAGACCAGCCTCAACTACATAGTGAGTTCCAGGTCAGTCTCAACTGCAGAGTGAGACCCTGTCTCAAAAAACCGAAAATAAAATTCGAGCCCTGGTACCAAAAAAAGAGAAAGATCAAAAAACCGAAAAAAAAGAAACTAAAAAAAACAAAACAAACAAAATTGTGAGGGACTAAAAATCCCAGATAACTAAATTATAGATTCTTCCAAAAAGAGAAAAGTAATCATATAGTTATCAGAGTGCACACATTTATTTGCAGTCATGTTATTTTAAAAATATTTTACCATATATATAGTAAAAAGTTATCTTAATACACACACACACACACACACACACACACACACACACATATATATGAGACATTTTCATGTCAATATACTTTATTCTTTTTTGTTTTTTTTAGTCTCCTTGCAGTGATTTATTAAGAACAAGCACGGGCGGGACGGGGTCCAGCCCAGCCGAAGACACCCACTACACCCGGCCCCGCCCACTCCACAGCCGCCAGCAGTTCCGTGCAAGCTCGGAGGAGAACCCGGGACCCGGAGCTGGGCCGAGGTCAGGCAGAGTCCGCGTCGCCTTCCTCAAACAGCGAATATACTTTATTCTTAAAGAGAATTTAATTGTACAGGTTCTTCATAATTTATATAATCTCTCACTGAAAAGTATTTGGATTGATATTTTTTTTCATGGTTTTTGTTTTATTTTGTTGTCAGCACGTTATTAGGCACCACCCTTTTACTTTTTTTAACTGTACATTTTAGATATACATAATGATAACATTCATCATAGGGAGTTTGTACCTGTACATGACATATCTTGCTTCTTTTTTTCCCATTCCTCTCCCCTCCATTCAACACCTCTTTTGCTCCTTATTTACAAAAGCTTTCTTTTCTTTTTTTTTGGTTTTTTGAGACAGGGTCTCACTGCGTAGTGAGACTGACCTGGAACTCACTGTGTAGCCCAGGCTGGTCTCGAACTCACAGTGATCCTCCTGCCTCAGCCTCCCGAGTGCTGGGATTACAGGCATGCGCCACCACGCCTGGCTTACAAAAACTTTCTTTACATTTTTCCTTCTATTTTCTTTTCTTTCCTCTCCTTTCCTTCCTCTCCCCCCACCTTCCCTGTTCCCCTTCTCATCTGAACATTTTCTCCCCATTTTCCAATGTCTATTACATATTTGGGTCCTTATTTACACCTCCAGCTTCTCATACCAGAGAAACAATGCCATATTTAAACATATGTGTGGACTTATTTCACTTAAGAGTATGGTCTCAATGTGCATCCATTTAGCTAGAAATATATCTCAAGCTTATCCTTTTTTATGGCAGAGTACTCCACTGTATTTAAAAAAAAAATGTTCTCTATTCATCACTTGATTTACATTTAAACTCTTTTCAAGATTTTTCAAATTCTGCCTCTATAAAAATGGGTATGCATGTATCACTGTGTTGTGATGCTTTTAATTCTTTTGAGAAGACACCAAGTCCAGTTGTTTTGTTGTTGTTGTTTTGTTTTGTTTTGTTTTGCCAGTACCATGCTGTTTTTAATCACAGCTTTGTAGTATAATTTCAAGTCAGGAATTGTGATGTACCTGCTTTGCCTTTGTTGTCTAGAATTGCTTTTGCTATTTAGGTCTGTACTGGTTCCAAATGAGTTTTAGGATTGCTTTCTCTAATTCTGTGAGATATTCTATTGATATTTTGATTAGGATTGCATTAAATCTGTATAACTATAACAATTTTGGGAGTATGGCCATTTTCACTATATTGGTTCTTCCTACCCAAGAACAAGGATTTTCTTCCCATTTTCTGGTGTCATATCTTCTGTGATCTCCTTTTTTACAGTACTACAGTTTTGAATGTAAAGGTCTTTGAATTATTTCATTCGATTCCTTCCCCTTTTGGGGGGGGCTCCTATTGTGAAAAGAGTTGTTTCCCTAATTTCTCTCTCAATGAGTTTATTTTTGTATAGAAATGATATTGATTTTTATATTGATTTTTTTGTATTGGGAATCAAATTCAGGTCCTTGTGCTTGCAAGGCAGGCAGAAGAACCACTGCGCTAAATCCCTGGCTTATATTGAGTTTTTTGTTTTTTTTTAGGTTTTTTGGTACCGGGGATAGAACTCAGAATCTTGTGCTTGCAAGGCAGGAGACAGCACCCAACACTGAGCTAAATCCCCAGCCCTATATTGAGTTTTGAATGTTGACTTTGTATCAAACTATTCTACTCAACTTGGTTATTAAATCTAGAAGTCTTTTGGCGGAGTTTTGGGGCCTTCTATGTAGAGTATCATGTCACCTGAAACTAAGGATAATTTGACTTCTTTCCTCCCCTTACTCCTTTTATTTCTTTCTATTGTCTAGCTGCTCTGGATAACATGTCCAGCTATACTGCGTAAGAGTGGTGATAGTGGGTATCCTTGTCTTGTTCCTGATTTTAGAATGAAAGCCTGCAGTTTTTGTCCATTTACTATGATTTTGGCTGTTGCTTTGTCATAGATGGCTTTTATCAGATTGAAATAAAGACCATCTATTCCAATTTTCTGCAGTGTTTTTATCATGAATGGTTACTGGATCTTGTCAAACACCTTTTCTGAATCTATTGAGAGGATCGTATACTTTTTGTCCTTGGCTCCATTGATAGAAAGTATTACATTTATTGATTTCTGTATGTTGAACCATCCCTGCATCTGTGGGATGAATCCGACTTAGTCAAGGTATACAATCTTCTTGGTGATTTGCTGCATTCCGTTAGCCAGTTTCTTATTGAGGTTTTTTCCATCTATGTTCATTAGGGAGATTGGCCTGTAGATATGTTGTTTGGTTGGATCCTTCTCTGGTTTTGGTATCAGGGCAATGCTTTCTTCCAGGAATGAATTTAGAAATATTGCTTCACTTTCAATTTCATTAAAGAGTTTCAGAAGTCTTTGCATTACGTCTTTGTCTTAGTTACTTTTCTTGTTGTGGAGACACAATAGCCAACACCCGAAATTAACAGAGGAAAGGTTTAGTTCATTCACAGTTTGTGGAGGTTTCAGTCCAAATCAGCTGGCTCCAAGGGAGGGTGGCATAGCAGACAGGTATGACCGAGAAGAAACAATTCATGGCAGGCAGAAGGTAGCAAAGCAACAAGGGATATCCGCAGCTCTTTCTACTTCTCATATGTTATCCAGACTATTTAGGATGAGTAACACTCACAACCTTAATCCCAGTGCCATTGATCCTAGCATTGCACCATGAATCATTCCCAGGGTAACACACTCTAGATCTAGCTATGTCTGAAAAAGCCCCATCTATGACTGCATGAGGCTTTGGGGAGACATCTAAATACAAGACATAATAGTCTTCTCTAAATTTCTTGTAAAATTCAGCAGTGAATCAGGACCCAGGCTTTTCTTTGTTGGTACGTTTTTAATCACATCTTCAATTTCATTGCTTGCTACTGATTTAGAAATTTTACATCCTCTTGGTTCAGTTTTGGTAATTCATATGTATCAAGGAATCTGTTCATTTCTTCTGTGCTTTCCTCTTATTAGAGTACAGGTTCTTTTCTTTTTTTTGTTTTTGTTTTTGAGACAGAATCTCACTGTGTAGTTTAGGCTGGCCTTGAACTCACAGCAACCCTCCTGCCTCAGCCTTCTGAGTGCTGGGATTAGAGGTGTGCACTACCACACCCAGCAGAGTAGAGGTTCTTGAAGTAGGTATTGATGATATTCTGTATTTCTGCAGGATCTGTTGTAATTTTACCCCTTTCATTCATTCTCTCTCTCTTTTTTTTTTTTTTTTTTTTTTTTTTTTTTTTTGAGCCAGGGTCTCACTATGTAGTTGAGACTGACCTGGAACTCACTATGTAGCCCAGGCTGGTCTCAAACTTGCAGCGATCCTCCTGTGTCAGCCTCCCAAGTGCTGGGATCACAGGCATGCGCTACCACTCACGTCCTACCCCTTTCATTCTTAATTGCATGGATTTGAGTCTTTTCTTTCCTTTTTTGATAAGGTTGGCTAAATGTTTGCAGTTTTTTGTTTGTTTTTTTGTGTGTGTTTTTTGGTACAGGGATCAAAATTGGGACCTTATGCTTGTCAGGCAGGCTGCGGAACCACTGAGCTAAATCCCCAGCCTAAAAGCTTGTCAATTGTATTTAATCTTTCAAAGAACCTACTTTGAAATTCATTGATTCTTTGAATTGTTATCTTAGTCTCAATTGCACTAATTTCTCCTTAGATTTCTATAATTTTCTCCCTCATATGAGCTTTGGGCTTGACTTACTCTTTTTTTTCCCTGGAAGTTTGAGGCTTAACATTAGGTTATTTATTTGAGCTCCTGCTTTTCTGATATGGCAATACACCACTATAAATTCCCCTTGTAGGACTGATTTCATTGTGACCCATCAGTTCCAGTATGTTGTATCAGCATTATCATTTAATTTTAGAAACTATCTACTTTCTTCCTTAATTTTGTCTGTGAACCAGTTGTTGTTTAGGTGAGTGTTATTTAATTTCCATGTATTTATGAAGTTCTTGTGGCTTTTTAAAAATAAATTTTATTTTATTTTATTTTATCTCATTCCCCCCCTCAAGCCTCCTCCCCTCCTTCTTGTGCTTTCTTTTGCCATTGATTTCCAATTTCATTGCACAGCATTATGGTCTGATGATATGCATCAGATAATTTCAACTTCTTTGCATTTACTGAAGCATATTCTATGAGCTAGAATATGGTCTCTTTTTGTGGGGGGTTTGAGACAGGGTCTTACTATTTAGTTGAGACTGATCTGGAACTCACTATGTAGCCCAGGCAGGTCTCGAACTCACAGCGATCCTTGTACCTCAGCCTCCCAAGTGCTGGGATTACAGGCGTGCACCACCACACCCAGCACGGTCTCTTTTTCTGAGGAATGTCTTGTGTGCAGCCGAGAAGTATGTGTATTCTAATGTCATAGGGTGGGATACTCTGTAGACATCTATTAAGTCCATTTGTTCAAAAGTTAGCTTCAGTTCTGGTATTTTCTTTTTGATTTTTGGCCTAGTTGACCTATTTGTGATAGTGGGGTATTGAGGTATTCCATTACAATTGTATTAGTGCTTATTTGATTTTTTCATGTCCATTAATATTTGTTTTTTGTATTTGGGTGCACTGGTATTTAGTGCATATATATTTATGTTATCTCTGCCTCTTGGATTGTTCCCTTTACAAGGATGTAGTGACAGCCAAGAGTGGTAATGCACGCCTGTAATCCCAGCACTCAGGAGGCTGAGGCAGGAGGATAACTGTGAATTCGACCTGAGCCTGGGTTACAAAGTGAGTTTGAGTCCAGTCTGAACTACATATTGAGACTCTATCTATAAACAACAACAACAACAACAATGACGACTACAACACACACACACAAACAAAACAAAGCAAAAAGGATGCAGTGACTTTGTCTCTTAATCAGTCTTGGCTCTAAATCCATTTTCTCTGCCAATAGAATAGCCACTCTTGCTTTTTGCTGGGTTCCTGTCACATGGAGTATTGTTTTCCATCCTTTGACTTTGACTTTCAGTCTGTGAATTTCTT